TAATAATAGTACATATCCCATGGGGATGTTGTGGGGACTTAAACCAATAAAGCACATAAAGTACTTCATGAAGTGTAAAAGCCCATAGTAAACTTAATAAATAGTAGCTATCATTATAATAATTTTGGTTAAAGATAGTCAACCAGTTGAAAGTCTACACACATTATCAAGAATTGAGAGAGAGACAGAAGTAATTGATTTTGCACAGGAGAGCCTAGGCAGGCTTCAATGAGGCATCAAGGAGCAGTCTTGAAAAATGAGCAGAATTTCAATATAGAGCTAAGAGAAAAATGCTTTAGGGGAAAGAAATGAATTTAGTATCTAGCATATTGACTTTGAGATCTTTACTGACAGCTGAAAAATTTTTCTGAATTTATTAGAAAGATTGAAGCTAGAATTGGTTGATTACTATTAAATCAATAATACCAAGATCTAAAACCACAAGAATAGGCTAGAATGTCAGGGAAAAAAATTGTAGACTGAGAACAGACAGGGTTGGGGAACATGGAGATTTAAAAGACTAATAGAAGGGGTGTCTTTGAAGGCAGAAAAATAACAGAGACGTAGGAAAAGAGCAGGTGTAGAGAAAACTGACTTGTTCAAACAGGTATTTAAATAGAGCCTAAATCCCAGTGGAGAACAGTGAAAGTCATTCAAATTTAACTTGATCAGCAATACAGTGCAATGTGCAGTCCTCAGAGTCATGAGCTACCTGGATTCAAATCCTCCCTTTCACTCTTTCTAGCTGTGTAAACCTTAAAAAGATATTTTTCCTCTGAAATCACAATATTCCATGCATTTACAATTAAAATAGTGGTCTTTTTCCAGTAAGACTATTGAGCTTAGAATGGACTAATGTATATAAAGCACTTAGGAAATTGGATAAAGACACATACATGTGTACATCTGGGAAAATATAAATTGGTCAATGCAAACTTGATACCAGAGAAAATAAGAGAACAATCATCAAATTACTTTCCATCACTCAGAGGAGCCCTAGATATTGTATAACAATTCAAGTTAGATTTATGAACAAATAATGTCAAAGTTAGACCAATTTCACTTTCTTTCTTTGAAGAATATTAGACTACAGGGGTAAGAGAAAAGTAAAAGATTGAATAGAGCTGAACTAGCTCAGTTTTCTGTCTATCTCCATGACATTTCTATGGCTAGGCTGCAAGAAACTGTTCAGCCCAGCATGTCCCCATTGGAGTGTTAGAAAGTTATTGAGTGTTCCATGAAGCAAATAAGTTTGAGTAACATTGGGTAAATAGGTTACTTTATTGCAGGACTTCTTAAATGTTTCTATTATAGTGATGTAATATAAATAGCTAAGTGTCAGTATAGTGCACAGCATTTTCCAGGCTTATCTGGCCATAGAGTGCTTTTATGGATCATAGAACACAGTCGGAGAAGGAGAGGGGTAGATATGGTATTATCTTTGCTGAAGTTATGGTTACTACATAGTGAATATTAGGTTTTCAGCATCTATATGTAGAAAAATATCATGTGTTATTCTGTACGTGTCAGAATTTAAAGAGTTATTTAATACTTTTATTCATGAGCTGGACAATTGGGAATCAGGAGAATCACAATTAAGCACAAAGTTAGATGGAATTGCTATTACTTGGAAGACAGAAATAAAATTCAAAGGACATCCAAAATAGAATTATATCAAAAAAGAATGAAGATCAAAAATGTGAAGAAGAAAAGTGTCTTTTCTATAAAAATAAGCTTTGTAGAAAAAAGAAATAAAAAAAATTTGATATACATGCTCATGGCTTTAAAAGTCCAAGAAAACACACTGGGTCTTGAATAAAAGCACAATGCATAAAAATATCACAAAAGTTATTTTGCCTCTGTCAAGTTTATTGTCACAAACAGCATAGGGAAATGTGGTGTGTCTCAGACTGGGGTGGCTATATTTTAGAGTGTTGGCCTTCTGCACACTTCTGCTTGGCTTTACATGTTTCATACAATAGTGGTCTTGAACTGCTCTAGAATGTAAGACCTCCAAAGCCAAATGACTCCCAGCAAGGTCCCATCTAGGGTACCCCTGAGTGGTGGGCTACGTGTCTTGGGTGAGAATCTTGTCATTCCCTGATTTAATAAAGGCCTCCTAGTTCTTTTGTTAAAACTTGTGAATGTGAGCAGAAACTGATCATCCTATTTGGGAAGTATCCTGGTTGCTTGAGATTCTGCTAAATCTAGAGATTATCCAGGTTGAGTAGCATTTATAGGTCCCTGAAGAGTTGATTTTGAGGGACCAGAAGTTGTCGCTTTTGTGTTCTTATGTTAGGCGATGATATATCCTACTTATGCTTCATAGATAACTGACTTGTAATGTACCAACTAGAGTCATGTGACTTTGTGTGTACCTGTATGCATATGTGTAAGCAAAAGCCGATATGAAGTGAGAATCATAAAATTACTGAAGGTCCTGTGCTTGGCTGGAAGTACCACACTAATGAAGTAAAGGACTTCCAGGCAGGCAACCAGGTAAAGGACATAAAAATGTTATCACATAAGAGGTGGAGTTAATAATGGTTAATCTGGGGAAGAAATAAAGCCAGCGTTGATATACTTTTACTACTTATAAAGAAAAAAAAAGGGGGTTGATAAGAAATAACTTTTATACCAGTTAAAACTGTCCAACAATGGACCAGACTGTCTTCTGTAAAAAAATCTAAAAATAAATTATTTTTGGATGCATATTTTGTGACAGGTGTTAGGCTAAACACATTACATGTGTAAGCTTAGTCAACTGTCTAAAAATCCACATGAGGTAATAACTGTTATATTCCCATAATAGAGATGGGAACCAGTGTTGGAGAGGTTAGCTTACTTTTTCAAGGTCACATAGCTAGTAAATGAAGAAACTGGGATTCCACCCTGGAATCTGTGCACTAAACTACTAAATTGCTTATGGAATTCCACCCTCAGATGCCTTAATGCACAGTCTGAGGTGTCAGAGATTTAGTCAGAGGGGTTATTCCCATTGCAAGACTTCTCCACTGCAGATAGTTTCTAAAACTCTTCAGCTAATTCCTGACATACTGATTTTTGGAATATTGAATTGAACCCCTTTGGACACTGGGTCCATCCATCACCTGCCCATTTTAACAGCAATGAGAAAAGATGTCCAAAAAGTCTAGAGAAAGCCAGTAAAAACTAAGGGACAGATGGACAATTGGACCTACAAGGAAAACTGAAAGATGTTTCATTCCTTTGCCCAGAAAGTGACTTGGTGATTTTCAATATGCAAAGGATTAGGGATCTATAAGTCATTTTCACGATGAATATAACAAAAAATCAATTTCATTGAGAAAGTCTGGATGAAACAAGAAAGCTTTCCAGTGAAAATGTCTTGAAATAACAACTTTGAAGTGCAGATATGGGTAGAAGAACAGGGTCATGTTAGAAAAGAAGCTGATGCCTTCAAGAGCAGGTCTCCCCTGCTGCCTCACCAGTGGCCTTGGCAAGTTGACCTGCCCTGAAGACCGCCCAGAATGCCAGGAAGTGTTTGTGAACTTCATTCTCTTCCAGCCTTTTCCACTAAAGGAGGAGCAGACACTAAAAAGGAAATCTGAGCCATTTTAGGAAAGCATTAAACTACATTTGACGACTGTGGTCATAGGAGTGATTAAGTAGCCAGCCACGGAGTTTTGCAACAAATAACCTGCAAGATCCCTTCCAAATTCTTGAGTCTACGGCCCTCAACAACTGAGGAAAGGCCACAGAGTCTCCATTAATAAAATCGCCTTGACACATCAACATTTCTGCTCAACAGAGCTATAATGTATTAATTTTAGGAGCAAGAAGTCAGTTTTTTTCTTTAACACTGAAAGCAACTGAATACCCTTACAAAGAAGGATTTTTTAAACTTTTGAAGGATTTCTTTCTGCTTCATAGAAATTTTATCATAATTTCATGCCCCTGTACTTCATGGCTTGTTACTTGGTCCATTACTCTTAGGTTTAACCTGATAAGGCCCCGGTTCCTGTGATATTAGTTCTTAGGTTTGGTTTCTCACAGCTGCTGCTTTGAAGTGCCTGATAACATTCTTACCCCTCTAAGAAACCGGTGGGTTTTCAAGTTCTCATTCTCTTGTGCTCTCTGTCCTACTGCTTCTATTAGTTCTCACTGAATGGGGACATTCTAATCTCCCCCTTTTCGCTACTGTTTAAAGAGGGCAAACCTTGGGCTGTTGCAGGTAGTCAATTGGTCCATCCACAGAACTGGGCAAATTATTCAGGAAATAATCACATTTCTCTCTGAGCATGTCAGAGCCTGTTTTCCTCTGGGGAATCAGGATTTCAATGGGGGAGCACACATGGTTTCTATAAACACAGATAATGCTTGCACGCTTTCACAAGCATACAAAAACCTTTTTTCTTAATGTGGTCCCCACAGGCCTACAGTCATGCTCTTTATCCAAAGGGAGCCTCTACACACAGGATCCAAAGCAGGTATGTTTCAATTGCTGGAGTTTGGAAACAGCCAAGCTTATCACCAGGCAAAATTAGGGCCTAGCTGAAATTGTAGACGGAAACATCTTCCAGACAAAGCATCTCTCAGGATATCCAGTATGGGCAGTAGGGCTGTAAACATTCAAATAATTTCCGTAAATTGTTTATGGCTAAAATTAAATTAGGGTTGAGGGTTTTCAAGGCCTTTGATATTTCAATTGAAAATTAATTTGGGGGAGGAAAAAAATCACCTCCTGTCTCATCCACTTAGAAAAAATTCCTTCTGTGATGTCAAGTATAATTTCCCAACACACTTGATGTGAATGTCAGATGACTAAATTTTACAGATGATCAGAGTGCTGAAAGATGTCTACAAGAGGTAAGATGGGGACTAAAACTTTAGCAGCACTTCAAAGAAGAATGAGACAACTTAACAGTTAAGAGGAGTAACATCACAACTGTAAGCAAAATTGAGAGGAACTAACACCTCATTGTGCATAGAATATGCTGTTACCAAGAAAAGTTACTCACAGGTATTTGCAGTGCCTTTGGGGATGGGGAGATAGGAGCCTGGACTCCAAGGTCGGCCCTGATAATTCTTCTTGCATTTCCCACAGTCTGGGCCCGTAGTGTTGTGCTCACATTCACATGTCAGTTTGCTGTTGTCATACACACACACAGTGGCATGAAGATTACACTTGCACCTGGGCAGAGGAGAGACAAAGAGTTCATTGTCAGATGAGTTGGTCTTGGTGACCACAGAGGCTTCCCTGATCTGTCTCCAAGGGTTGTGCCTTTCAAACTGTACAGTGCTTTAGTGCTACACAGAGGCATTTAGTAAGAGATAGATTTGCAGGCCCAGCCCTCAGAATCTTCTCAAAGAGAGCCGTTTGCAGAGGGCAGATTTGTTATGATGCCCTCCGTCCTCACACAGCACTTTGAGAAAGCCGAATAGCAGTCAGGTCAGCAGAGGCCTGAAGCTCCCCCAAGATAACTGTGCTCCAGAATCAAGGGGGCTCTCAACAGATTCCAAAATACTATCATTCAGGAAAAGGTCTTTTTGTGATATTAACAAATCTATGACAATTTCATCTGGGTTTCATTTGGGTTTAAAGAACAATGTTATCTTTTTTTAAAATTGTTAAGACAATTCTTATTTGCTTAAAAAGGAAGATAACCATTAAAATAATTTGCTATTTAGACTTATTCTTAGAAACCCAAGAAATTATAATCAAGTGTTCTCATTCTGCACTCTAAAATGACATTTCCTCAGATCAGAAGAAGTTTTCTACCATGGCTGCTAACAGACCAGAGGGGAGGTGTGACAGGAATCCTCAGACATCCCACTCAGAGAAAATTGGGGAATCACAAAGGGCTCTCAGAAACAGGCCAAATGACTCTGAAAAAAAAAAAAAAAAACCCTTCATGTGGCAGGGTTTTGAAATCATTAGCTAAGGCCTGGCCTTTGCTGCCTATGAATAAAGCCATGATATATGAGAGGCAACAATGGAATATGCAATTTCCACAAAAATACATCTTAATGCCCGAAGTCTTTGACTATAAAATTGCTAACTTGATATTTGTTGAGGCAGCAGGATATAAACTATCACACCGAGCACGAACCATCTCCTCTGGAAAGGTAAAACCTACGTTGACAGAATGGCCACAACCAGAGGTCAGAATAATGTATGTGGGAAGAGACAGTCCACACATAGGAGAGAACCTGGGCACCCAGGCTAGGGGGTAGAGAACCGAGATAGGTCAGAGTCAGAACCAGAGAGAGAGAGAGAGACAGAGAGAGAGAGAGAGAGAGAGAGAGTGTGTGTGTGTGTGTGTGTGTGTGTGAACAAACCTGGCCTCTTTCAGAAACTAGGACAAAAATGTAGAAACTCAAGTTTCATTAAGACAAAGACATATTATGGTATTTTACTTTTTTTCTCTTGGGCCAAATTACATGAACTGGGAAAGAGAACAGAATGTTCTTTCTTAGGTAGGAAAACAAAACTCTTTAGCAACAATGTCGGTTTCTCTAACGTCTGCACAGCAATGGTCAAGTTTTTCTTTAGTGCATCCAGAATCTGGAACACTGACCCATACTTATGACAAGGAAAATAAAGGAATGGTTAAGACTATTACTGAAAGCAAGATGGAGTCCTAAAGCAACCACCATCTACTCACACCTGTCTAGGAAGACCAAGCTGCAGCTTCCTCAGGGGTCTATTACAATGTATATCTGTTCTCTGTGTACTTACAAATTATAATCAGCTTGTTCAACTTAAACACATAAATGTCACCTTTGAAAATGATCATTTGTATATTCTTTAGAAAGGTAAGATAAAAAAGAATTCAGTTAAACAGGTGATGTTTAATTATGAACTAGGTCCTATAACAATCTCCTATATTATATGCAGGGAATTACTTGTGCTAGGTTGCTTATTAAAGGATCTTTCTCCTTCCAACATTAATACCTTTATTTATGGGTGTGTTTATATATACGGAGGATGTTTAAAATCTAAGTGATAGAAGCACCAGCTTATACTGATTTAGCACCATATCTAGTGTTAAAAATTCCAAATGAGGAAATTGAACAATGTGATCCCAAAGAATATGCTGGTTTCATGCGTGAAGACCAAGAATGCAAGGAGTAATTGTAAATTGGATTATATATCTTGTAACTGTTAATACTTTCATACTTGTAGTCACTCTGAGTTACAGGCAATTTCCATTCTAAAGACATTATATTAGCTGAGAAGATATTCTTTGAATACTAAAGGAGTTAAAAGGAGAATAGATGAATGTTTAGTCTTATTTTTTTCTCAGATTTCTTCCAATTAATGGCTCATTCTCAGCTGTCCAAAAGCTTATTAATCATTCAAGGCTCAACTTAATTCAAAACCTTTCTCTGAAATCCATCCTGACCACCGTACTTACCCTGAGAGCTATTCTTCTGATTTCTTTAAATGTATCTGTGTGCTTGGATTGGTTGTTACTAAAGGTTCTTTGTACTTTTAAATTTTCTCACTCATTGCACGAGTCTCTCCGATCTTCAGGTGAGGAAATGCCTATTCTGCATCTGGTCATCTCCCCAGCCACCTCCTGAGTCCTCTCCCCTCCCGTCTTGAGTGTCCTATACTTGCCGTCTCCTTTCTCCCATCTCCCACTCACTCCGTCTTTGCACATGGCCACAGCCTCCCTTGCCAAATCACCCACGACCGCCCTGTTGAAAATCCAATGGATACGTTTCCTTGCCTTTTTCGTTTTCTCATGGGCATTGACTCTTCAGCTTGTTCACTATACATGCTGTTCCCGGGTTCTGGCCCGGCACAGCCAGTACACTCTCCCTGGGCACTCTTATCAAGTTGTCCCTTCGATTTTCGTTTGCAGTCCTTAACTTCCTTTGTGTCACAGATGTTTTAAAGTAAATTCCCATCATCTTCCCGACCCCAAATAAACATACTTAAAGGAAGCCCAAAGTGTGAAAACATTTTAGGAGATTCAGAGATTCTCTGTTACCCACGGGGATGCATAGAGCCTCTCTTTCTGTTACACCACATGAAGAATATCTAATCGAAATGCTAGTAAGTCTGGAATCTGTGTCTCCATCTCAGATCTCTCTCCCAGCCTTCACACGTATTCATCAAAATGCCTCCTGGACAAACCTAACTCAATATGTCTTTGGGTTTTGGCTTTCCACCACACCTATTCTTCCTTCTGTGCTTTCTCAGTAAATTGTACCATCTTCCACCCAGTTCGCCAAGAATGATGTATCCCTCTCCCTTTCCCACCCCATCTAATCTGGCATTACTCAGTCTCTCACCAAGTCCTGAGATTCCTCTTTGATATGGTTTAAATATTTTGTCCCCTCCAAATCTCATGTTGAAATGTGATCTCCAGTGTTAGAGAGGGACCTGGTGGGAGCTGTTGGGATCATTCTCTCATGAATGGCTTGGTGCCCTCATTGTGGTAATGAATGAGTTCTTGCTCCATGAACTCTTACAAGATCTAGAATGTGGCACCTACCCCCTATTCTTATTCCTGCTCTCGCCATGTGACACGCTTGCTTCCCCTTCGCCTTCCACCATGAGTGGAAGCCTCCTGAGGTCCTCACCAGAAACTAAGCAGATGCAGGTGTCATGCTTCTTGTACACAGCCTACAGAACTGTGAGCCAAAATAAACCTCTTTTCTTTATAAATTACCAAGTCTCAGTTATTCCTTTATAGCAATGCAAATGGACTAATACACTCTTCCTTGAGTTGCTTTAAAATACATACAGTTCGGGCAACAATCACTTCCTTAGCTGTGATTATCATCTTTGATCTGGTTTATTGCAACACCTTCTAAACAGAATTTTGTGCTCCAGGTACACCCCTCTCTAACCCAATCTCAACACAATAGTCAAAATATTTTTTTTACACAAATATATTTTGGGTCACTTCTGGAACAGATCTGTAAGATTTCCCATTATTTTCAGGATAGAGTCTAAGCTCTGTAACATGTACTGCAAGTTCTTTTTTGCAATTTATCTCTTGCTCCTTTTCCAGTTTTATCTGTATCACTCCTAACTCTACACTTAGTTCTTCAAACTTTGCCTTCAGATCCTCTTAGAAGCTGTTTCTTCTGCCTACAGCATTCTACTCTCCTATTCCTACCTCTTTGATCTGGATAATTCTTCCCTTCAGATATTAACTTATATATGTCAGTGCCTGGCTCCTTTTAGGTATTCAAAAAATATCTGCTGATCAACTATCTGAATGTTTCTCTGGTCCACCAGGATGCCTTTCCTGTGTGCTCCTATGACATAGGGCAAGGCTAGCTGCATAATAAAGTCCATACTATCCCTGCTATAGACTGTAGGCTGTATTTTAATTGCTTATTCTGTCATCCTCACTAGAGGAGAAGTTCCTGGGAGGCAGCCGTCATGTCTGCTTTATTTATTGTAACATCCCTAGTGTGTGTTGTGGTGCTTGGCACATAATAAGTGCTTAAAAACTTAGATGATTAAAATAAATGATAATAAACAAGTAAGCTTCCTGAAAGCAAGAATGTCTATACATGTTCTACTGTGTCTAACTTGATAATGGTCTAATTAATGGGAAATTAATAGGCTTTGTACTAAATTAAACACTCCATGATGTGTGTTGAAAACTGTCACATGCCCTCATTGTTGGTTTTCATAACTAATATTACACTGGACAAAAGGAGACTCTATAAAATTTGTGAGATATCACAAACACAGTTTAATTTCACTTACTCTCCAGGGAATTTATCTGATGACTGAAACCCAAAACAAGACCATCTTAAAACAATGTCTGAAAGACCTAGGAAAAGAACACAGCTCAGGGGAGAGGGAAAAAAAAGCATTTGCATAGCAGATAGCATAATTATTCTGGAACGTGCTTCTTTTAGCTTCAATGTGTCATGCAAGGATGGCCACCCTGGTCCAGCTAAAGTTAGGGGAGGGGCATGGCTTGAACACTGGCTAAAACTGTAACTTCACATCTGGTGACCTAGCTCAGCTTTTGGGCTGTCTTTGCTCAGTCACTGTAACAATGGCTGTGCTGGGGCTGAACACTGCAAGTAGGGGCTGAGGCACAGGACACTGCCTGTATTTAGAGATGACTCCCTTTCATTTTCCACAGCTCAGTTTATTCCTCATCAGTACCATTCCAATCAGACGCTAAAACCTGTTATTTAGAGCCCTTG